ACACACACACACACACACACACACACACACACACACACACACACACACGAGATGCTTGTCATATGATTTCTAACCCACCCTCATCTTAGCTTCCCTAAAATTCTTATCTAACCCAATCATAGCCTTCCTTTCTTTGTGGAGGAAGAGGATTGGATCAGTTTTATTGAACCCTGGGTGTGGCTGCCTCTCAGTTTTTATGACTGTTTCTTTGGCTCCTGGCTCTTTGTTGGGCATCCTGGCTCTAAGAGTTGCCAAGAGTGATGGCTGTGTGCAGTGTATGAGTTATAGTGTTGGAGGAGCAGTGTGGGTTCTCTGGCTAGTCACTTTTCTGTTTCCCTCTGTCTGTAGGCCTGGGGTAGAAAATTCCACAGACACTTTGTTGGTTTTCCTTTAATCTTTTTCTTTTGATTAGTTTGTGGAAAAGTTCTACAATGAGTTTTGACCATATACACCCCTCTCTCCAACCCTCCCAGATCTATATTCTTTTTCCTACTCACACAACTTGGTGTCCTCTGTTTGCCTTTTCCCCATAAAGCCCATACATTCTTGGATATGTGACCTTCCACCGGAGAGGGGTTGACTTACCAGCGCCAATACTCTTTAAGAGCAATAGACTGTCTCTTTCCCAGAAGTTATCTATTGCCAATATCTCCTCAGGTAGGGGTGGAACTTTATGCCTCTCCCCCCCACCCCGTGCTGGGACCTGGTCTGGACCGAGGTTTCACAGGGTCTCTGTGTGCTGTCTAACCCACTGTGAGTCCCACGAGTTCAGCCTTGTTGTGTCTGGAGGGTGCTCTTCCCATCCTTCCCCCGCTGGCTCTTTACAATGCCTTCACCTCTTGCTCTGCAGTGGCCTTGAGGGGACAAGGTACAGTCTTGCACCACAGGATGCAGCCCAGACGTGCACCACCGTTGGTCAAATAACTTGCGGCTAGACGTGTCATAGGCCCTTATGACCTCATAGGTCATGTTACCATTATTCTGCTAAATGGACATTGCCGTAAACTGACTTATTGTTGCATACACGAATTCATGTGTCTGTCAATGCTTGTCAGAGAAGCTTCTGCAGGCGCAGAAGATGATGATTAACACAGAGACCATCCACAACTGGCCACGGTGTAAAGAATAAGAGCCCGAGGAGTGCTTTACCTTGTTGGTTCATGCTACTCTTAACAATTTTCACATATTTTGGGTAACCTCTCCCTGGCTCTGAAGCACTTTTTTACCTTTTCTTTCGATCTTTCTTTTTTTGGGGTGGTGGTGGGGGAGAGCAGGAGTGCTTTTGTGTGTATGCATATGCACACGTGGGTGGCCCACATGTGTGGAGGTTAGCGGCAGACACTGCATGTTATGCTCCCCATTATTGTTTTGAGGCAGGGTCTCTCTCTGAATGCAGGGCCCACAGAGCTCTTTCACTATATTGGTTGGCCAGGGAGCTCCAGATATCCAGATGTTTCCAGCGCTGCGGTTAGGAACATGTTCTGCTGTGATTGATTTTTAACCTGAGTGTTGGGATTTGAACTCAAATTCTCATACTTACCAAGAAAGCACATTACTGACTGAGCCATCATCCCAGCCACAGCTCTGGAGTTCTTCAGGCATGTGGGTCCTGAAGGAGCCATGAAGGAAAACTCTGCTTCCTTGTTCTTTTTAGCCCTTTGAGACATTTATTTGCTTTCATCTTCCATTCTTGTAAAACTGGATTTTTAGTCTGCCCATTCTAAGCTGAAAAGTAGCCCACTTACCCATGTTACCGTCACTTGCTTCTGCTCCTAACTACATTGTGCAGTGTTTTCCCTACAATCTGAAGATTGTCCTTGCTCATTATGTCCATCAGCTGGCATCGCAGTGTGGCTATGCCATTGTTTATGAGATTATTCGTCCTTACAGATGGAAAGCTTTGTCTCCAGAATTCTGTTGTGACAGACAATCACAACAGCAAATCAGCAAATCAGCACACCTGCATATTTTTCTGGTGTTTGAAGAGGGATCACGGGATAAACCTCAGACACTGGAACAGTGGCAGCAGGGTGAAGGTGTTGGTAATTTTTTTTTTTTTAGATTTCCCCATGGTGGCTTCCTTGCACATGCTAGTCACTGAAGTATGATAATTAACATGCAGTCTCCCTGAGAAGAAACTGAAAGCCTCAAATACAGAAAACTCCATCTCACACTGAAATCAAGCATCTCAGTGGGCTTTCTTTACCCTGGTCATGAAAGTCTTATTGGGGTGCAGTAGAAAAAATACAAGTGGAGCCGATAGACACCATTTGTGTGTGTGGCACTATGCCTACCCTCACTCTAGGGAGCTGCAAACAGTGATGGAACTTGAAAGAGTTGTTGTCTGTCTTTGTGGTGCTCTGGGGATATTGGGCAGGAGCAATACTCTTTGCACAGGACTTTAGGACTCATTATAGTGGAAAGAAGGAGGCATCAGACAGGTTCTGTCTCCAGAGATCCAGAGTCTGTCAGAATTGTAGTCACTGTATATAGGAGAGTGGATTGCTTGTCTTTGGAGACCATGGACAGACTCGCTGGAAAACTTAAAGGTCAGAGCAAGAAGCCTACAGAGCTTCCAGGTGTGGCCACATTGAGGATGTGTTCAGAGTGGAGGATGTGCAGGAATCCAGCTGTCATCCAGGCCACCAAATACTACGGGAGAGACTCAGGCTTCAGTGGACAGGTCAGTATTAACCACTGGCCATCTTCAGGTATTCTGACTTGGGATGTTTTGAAGTATATCTACAAATTTCCCGAGACGTCCTCAGCCTCCACTGGAAAGAGAAAGGCCCATT